AAAACAAACTGCATCATTTCCATGTCTTTGATTCCGGTCTGTGTTTCTAGAAAGTTCTAAATGTAGTCGTTCTTCTCTCTGTTCAACGTTTCCTCTTTCTCACAAACACACGACGGTCGATAAACAAACAAGAATTTTATTTATAGACAGACAGAGCTGTACTGGTCTCACTGTAGACCCGGTCTCACTGTAGACCCGGTCTCACTGTAGACCTGGTCTCACTGTAGACCCAAATAAAGACAAGACAGCAACATGATTACAGTGACGTAAAGGTTTGTTCCCGTCGATCACGTGATCAGATTAGCCCTCACTGACAGACAGCTGTCGGTCTGCTGCCCCCCAGTGGAAATCAACAAAATGAAATCAATTCAAGGATGTTTTTTTTGTGAAGTATTTGAGTTTGCAGTAATACACAGTAAACATTTCCTCTGGTACATAATCAAAGACATTAACTTCCTGTCGCGACCACGTGACCTGGAGTGACTCGGCGTCAGTTCTCCAACAGAGGGTCGTTTACACTGCACCCCCCACCCCCCCAACCTGGAGTCAGATCTCCCGCCCTCTGATGCTGACGACATACAGAATCGATCCTTGGTCTACGGTCACGTTAACGGAGCTTCAGCAAACAGACGCCGTGTCTGACGTCAGCCGCGTCAGTGGCTCTGGGACAGGACGGAGTGGCAGCGCGGGCACAGACAGTCCACCGACTCAGCGGTGAAGCGTCGGCACCGCGGACAGCGGGCGGCAGTGGTGGGAACCACGGCTATACTGTAGGGACTGTCCTCACGGATGATACCTGAGCACACAGAAAGACGAAGAGTGACGTCACTGAGCACACAGAAAGACGAAGAGTGACGTCACATTTAGGAAATACATTAAAAATGTTACAACTAAATCGGTGAGGCTGTGGTGAGGGTTTTTACAGAAACAAAAAAACAGATCAGTCCGTTTTGCGCATGCGCCCTGTGTCAAAACAGGTGAGAACTCTCGGGAGCTGGAGCTAGCTTGTTGTTAGCTTGGAAGTAGCGTTGAAAAGAGCCGGGAAAATCGCTGTTTGTAGTTTAAGTAACAGAACGGTTCGCTGTGGAGGAGACACGAGAGAACTACAGACCGTCAGAACTGACGCTGGAACCATCAACCCGCCGAACCGAGCCGAGGTAAACGGGTCATTTATTGTTCCTTATTCTTCTTTCGGAGTCATCACAAAAACAATATTTAAACTACAAATATTATTTTAAGGAAAACCGAAATCTGTACACGATAAAAAGTCCGTTCACAGGAACCATGTGTGTTTAGTACTTCACTCCAGTCACCAAGAACTTTATTTTGAAAGTTGTTCAACTGAAGTGAGAACCTGTGACTTACCGGGAAATGATTTAAGAATTACTGATTATAAGATCAAAATGTTGCGTTGAAGAAAACGTTACTTTTTGTAAATGCCCTCAAGGAAACCGGAATCGGCAAATATCGGTTTTAGCAGGTGGTACATGAAATAACCGGAAATCGTAATCAGACAGAAATAAATAAATAAAATGTAACAAGTGACGCTGCTCACCCTCCAGGTTGATGAGGAAGGTGCCGTGGTGCAGTAGGGCATCTGAGGGCAGATCCCGGGGGAGTTCACTGGTCAGGTTGACTCGTGCGGCCATCATCAGTTCAGCCAACTGAGAGGAGGTGGAGGTGGGCTCCTCCTGGAGAGACTGGGGGTCAAGAGGAGGAGGAGGTGAGTTTGTGTCCTTGTTTACAGTTCACTCTGACGGTCAATTCAAAGACAAATAAAAAAGTTTCCTTGGCTCAATGTGCAGTATGTGTGTACACCTTAGATCCTATGTTGGCCACTAGGGGGGGTTAGACTACTCTTACCTCCATCAGTTCAAACAGCAGACCAGGTTCGATGGCGACAGTGAGGTCGTACTGAGCAGAGTTTTTCCCAGGGATAGAAGACAGGAAGGAGTCTCTGATGGCACACGCCCCCTCCACGGCCTCCTGCAGTCCCGGCCTCTGCCACACGGAGCTGCTCTTAATCCAGCCGCTCCTGAACAGAGTCTCTCCCTCTGCAGGAACACAGCAACAAAACAGTTCTACACAGTACCTGTCGACCGTTGAACTCCACGCCGATACGCTGCGCTCACGATACGATTTTATCACGATTTTCTTTAAAACCAATGAGTTCCAGGCAAATCCAGTGACTTTTTCAGATACTGCCACCTACTGGACTAGAGTGTGTAGTGTCATGGTTTGACCAGTGACTGGTCCTAGTAAACCTAGTAAAAATAGTTCCGTTAACATGAAAAACTTCAGTCTAGAACGTAGATATTGAAGTTCTCTCTATGTTCTCGACTACTTTCTTCAGTTCAGTTGATGATGATCGGATGACGATGTCGTACGACGTCTGACACTTACCGTCATGTCCGGGTGCATGAAGGTAAACCTCCTCAGCCAGGTGGGGCAGGATGGGGGCAATAGACCTGGTGACTCCGTCCAGGATCTCCTCCAGGACGGTCTGACAGGACCTCCTGCCCACAGAGTCTTCTGGATCGCAGTACAACCTGGTTCAACAGACGCAGCGTCTCAGATGAGGATGAAGATGATGAAGATGATGAAACACAAACGGAGGATTCCGTCGGTCTACCTGTCCTTGATGATGCTGAAGTAAAAACTGGACAGGTCTCTGGTGATGAAGGTCTGCAGGAGACGGACGACCCTGCCGGCATCGAACTCACTGTAGGCGTCTGTGACCTGCGGACAAGGCTCCGTGTTACATCAGTGGTTGACCCCTGGTCCTCACCAGCCTCAGGTCCTGGTCCTCACCTTCATGCTGTAGTCACGCAGCTGGTGTAACATGTACTGGTCGATGTAGTACATGTCCTTGGAGTCCACAGCCTGGGAGGGCGGGTCGAAGCGGTGCAGGTTACCGAGCAGGAACCGCAGAGTGTTCCGTAACTGGAGGGAAAAAAAAAAAAAACAAATTTAAGAAAAATGAAGAAAAAAAAAAGCCAGACTCGACTCGGTTCTGCGTCTGTACTTTGCCGATGTTCTCTCTGGCTGAGTCGAGGGAACCGGGACCGATCTGGACCTCAGAGAAGATGTTGGACTCTGCAACCCACCAACGCAGGACGTCTGCCCCGTACGCCGGCAGGTCCTGTGAAGAACCCAGGAGAACCAGAACTGGTTAACCCCACACCGGGACCTGGTGTGTCCTGACCCTGGTCCAGACCCCGGTCCTCTCACCTGTCCTCCGTTGATCACCGTGTCTGGATCCACCACGTTGCCCACCGACTTGGACATCTTCTCCCCCTTCTCACTGACCGTGAAGCCGTGGACCACCAGTGACCTGGGACACACCAGGGTCTCCATTACACATGGTTCAAACCACAGACTGGTCCATGGACGTAATGATGACTAAAATAAGGTCCAACGTCCCTGTAGTTTGATGTCAAGTTTGGATCGATCCTGTCCTTCATAAAACTGAAGACTAAATATACGTTTGTTTACTTTTAACATAAACGGGAAAATAACGATAAACTCAACGATATGTTATGATTCACGACACGATTCTATCACGTTTTTTTGTTTGTTTACGATACCATAGGGACTAGGGAACTAGGGATGTCCAATATTAACTTTAATATCCGATATGCCGATCTTGTCCAAACACTTAATTTCCGATTCCTACATCAACTTATACCGATACAGAGCTGGTAAAATGTATTTATTTATCTGTACTAACCACTGTAGGAGTTACTGCACCAATATTCAGCAACAATCCACTGATTAAGATACATTAATAAAATGAGCTGCAATGCTGCCATCTAGAGGCTTTCACTTTCATATACAGCTGTTTTTCCCCAAAACTATTTTTAGAACACGCATCATTTGATGAAACCCAGGCATTGTGTTATCGGGTTTTATTATCGGAGGAAAACCTGATAACGATTCTTACAGATATTACATAATTATGCTAATATCGGGCCGATAATATCGGTAGTCCCAACCAATATTTTAGGCACATACTGCCACCTACTGGACTGGAGTGTGTAGTGTCATGGTCTGACCAGTGACTCCTCACACCTTGACGGACCAGTCAGTTTTTAGTTCAACCAATGAGAACTGTCACGGATTTGTATCGATTTTTAGTCGATTGACGATACATCGTTACGTCCGTTCACACTAACGTGTGATATCGTGTTATTTTTTATAATTATTTTCAAATCAGTTTGTTTGTTTGTGAGCGGCTACTCACTTGTACGGAGCTTTGTTCCGAACTGCGACACTAGTGAGCAGCGAGGACTGGAACCAGCCTCCGATCTGGTCTTTTCCTTCCACGTAGGCGTCGGCCCTGGAGTCGGACTCTGCAGATCAGAGGAGAACCGAAGGGTTAATGATCCGTCAGCTGAACGGCTGCAGACGAGGACGGAGTCTGGAGGAAAAACCAGAGGGGGTTAGTGAGGAAACTGCCATGTTCACCTGGTGTTTACCAGAACGCAGCCCAGTCCAGTTAGTGCCCTGACTGACAAACCAGCAGCCGGCCCACATGTACTGTATGAAGCCCACGTGTACTGTATGAAGCCCACGTGGTCAGTATGAAGCCCACATGTACTGTATGAAGCCCACGTGTTCTGTATGACGCCCACGTGTTCTGTATGACGCCCACGTGTTCTGTATGACGCCCACGTGTTCTGTATGACGCCCACGTGTTCTGTATGACGCCCACGTGTTCTGTATGAAGCCCACGTGTACTGTATGAAGCCCACGTGGTCAGTATGAAGCCCACGTGGTCAGTATGAAGCCCAGAAGCCCACATGCACGGCTGGGAAGCAGAGTGGTGTTAGAGGAGCCAACATCAGAAATGAGAGCGAGACACGAGAGAGTGACGAGCCACAGCCGGGCTCATCAGGTCAAAGGTCAAAGGTCAAAGAACCTGCAACCAGAGGTTTGCGTAGTGAAGTGGGGAGCCAGCTGAGGCGAGACTCAGGCTCTGAAGGATCGTCTTCCATCTCCTCTGGAAACACAACCAAACACAGACGGTTCTTCTTCTCCTTCTGTCAACAACTCAAACAAATCAACACAGAAACAAACACTGGCGAGAACCTGACCGTACGACACCAATCACGATACGAGTCACGATACGAGTCACGATACGAATCATGATACGAGTCACGATACGAATCACGATACGAATCACGATACTTTGGTTTTCCTTAAACAATTGAATTGTAGTCAAACTGTCGGCACAGAGCGATCCAGATACTAGATGTCGTAGTACTTCAGTGTATCGATATTTTCTTCGTTTTTCTGGTCGAGAACACAGAACCGATGAGAGTCCGAACGTACGGTACCTTCTAACACCGCAGCCCACCGACGCTCCACTGTCAAACCAGATGTCCAGCACCTCCTCTCCACGGACGTAGTCCGCCGCTGCTCCTGCTTTACTCTGGAGCAGACGAGAAGACCGTGTGTGTGAGGAATGTTTTTGGTTAAATCACAGATAAATAACTTCTTAGATAAATCTGTGTGAAGGCCTCACCTTCTTCACCACCTGCGGGGGCAGCAGAGTCTCAATGGGGAGCTCCCACCAACAGTCGCTGCCTTTTTCCTTAAAGAGCTGTGCTATATGGGACACTGTGTGTCTGCAGAGAGGGTGGGGGGACAGGGGGAACGGGTGAGTGTGTAGCTACAGACGTGCTGATGAAGCGGTGACTTTACTCTGTGATCAGAGGCTCTCCTGTCTCTCTGTGGTAGAAGACGGGGATGGGGACACCCCAGCTGCGCTGTCTGGAGACGCACCAGTACGTCCGTCTGTCCAGCATGGACAACATGCTGCTCTTGGCTGACTGAGGCAACACGTTGACCTTCTGCAGAGCATCCTAGACAACAGACAGACAACGTGGACAGGTGACATGCTGGTCTGATCCCGTATCCATCTCCTCAGTCCAACATTCCAGTGTAACTCAATACATTATCGTGACTACGGTGTCGCAATATATCGCCCCAGTATCGCGATACGTATCGTATCGTCAGATTCTTACCAACGTTCCCAAACCTCATTTCTCCAGCATGAACAGTTCTAGTCACTTTCTTTCTCTCAGCTCACCCCTCACCCCCTCACCCTCCTCACCCCCCTCACCCTCCTCACCTCCCTCTCCCTCCTCACCCCCCTCTCCCTCCTCACCCCCCTCTCCCCCCCCCCCCCCCCCCCCCCCCCCTCCCCCCCCCCCTCACCTCACCTCCCTCTCTCTCCTCACCCCCCTCACCCTCCTCACCTCCCTCTCCCCCCTCACCTCCCTCTCCCCCCTCCCCTCCCTCTCCCTCCTCACCCCCCTCTCCCCCCCCCCCCCCCCCCCCCCCCTCCCCCCCCCCCCCCCCCCCCCCCTCCCCCCCCCCCCCCCCCCCCCCCCCTCCCCCCCCCCCTCACCTCACCTCCCTCTCTCTCCTCACCCCCCTCACCCTCCTCACCTCCCTCTCCCCCCTCACCTCCCTCTCCCTCCTCACCCCCTCACCTCCCTCTCCCTCCTCACCCCCTCACCCCCCTCACTTCCCTCTCCCTCCTCACCCCCTCACCCCCCTCACTTCCCTCTCCCTCCTCACCCCCTCACCCCCCTCACTTCCCTCTCCCTCCTCACCCCCTCACCTCCCTCTCCCTCCTCACCCCTCACCTCCCTCTCCCTCCTCACCCTCCTCACCCCCCTCTCCCTCCTCACCCCCCTCTCCCTCCTCACCCTCCTCACCCCCCTCTCCCTCCTCACCTCCCTCTCCCTCCTCACCCTCCTCACCCCCCTCTCCCTCCTCACCTCCCTCTCCCTCCTCACCCCTCACCTCCCTCTCCCTCCTCACCCCTCACCTCCCTCTCCCTCCTCACCCCCCTCTCCCTCCTCACCCTCCTCACCCCCCTCTCCCTCCTCACCTCCCTCTCCCTCCTCACCCTCCTCACCCCCCTCTCCCTCCTCACCCCCCTCTCCCTCCTCACCTCCCTCTCCCTCCTCACCCCTCTCTCCCTCCTCACCCCCCTCACCTTGGCTTTGTCTTTCAGTGATGCCGTGTTGATGAACCACTGTTTACTGGGCCTGATGACGACCGGCTGTTTGGTCCTCCAGTCCACTGGGTAACTGTGTGTCCACGTCTCCTCCTTCAGCAGAGACCCACAGTCCTCCAGCATGGAAATGACTACAGACAGGAGGAAAGACCACAGACTGGGTGAGGACGGACGCACGCACGGACGGACGTGTGAACTGGTGTCAACACTGGTACCTCTGTCAGTGCCGTCCGTCATCACAGACAGATCCTGGAGGTCAGGACCTGCAGCTTCTGTGAACCTTCCTTCCTCGTCCACCAAACAATCCTGGAATTGAAGGAAAAACGAAAGACAAAAAAAAAATCAACCACAAATCAGTTTGACCAGAACCATAGTTAGAACCAGACGATAAACCAGGGAAGTAACGATCACCTCAACTGACCATACGATTTATGTACCTCTTATCTGCTCTGGTCAAACTGGTCAAACTGGTCTGGTCTGGTTGACCTGGTTAACTGTCAATATATGAAACAACAGGAAGTGGAAACAGTTCCACTGGAGAACACTGTTGGTGTCTGTGGAACCGGTTCTTCCCACGTTCTGTTCCAACACCTGAACGTCTCTCAGTCTACGTAGGACCTGATGACTGGGTTTGATAGTGGGTTTTTAGGAGCATACTGCCACCTACTGGACTGGAGGGTGTAGTGTTATGGTCTGACCAGTGATTCAGATTTGATTTCAACCAATGAGAATTGTCAGGGATTTGTATCGATTCTTTTAACCAACTTACGATGTATCGTTACGTCCCTACTTGTACGACATTAAAGCGTAGCCTTTTTTTACTCCTCAGTGAAAAGTCAACGCACCACAGTCAGATTAAAGTTTGACGCCACACTGTAGTCGTCCATGCCGTGAGCCGGGGCGATGTGGACCAACCCCGTCCCCTTGGCCATAGTCACATGGTTGGCTGGCAGTAACGGCACTTCCTTGTCAGGGATCGTGGGATGTTTGCACGTTCCACCTTTAAGATCAGAGCCTTGAAGAAAAAGTTCAGGCGTTTGTAAACGTGTCGGACAGAGGTCGCAGGTCGTCGGTGGAGTCGGTCACCGTTTACCTGTGAAGGTCATCACACCCTCCAGCCGTGTGCCGAGTAGAGCTGCTACAGCAGCTGTGCATTCAGTGGCCACTAGGAGGAGCTGAGAGTTGTCTGCTCTCTTCACCACCGAGTACCTGCAGGGTACAAACAGAGGAGAAAGTACTGCAGTACTGATCAACAAATACTACTACGGACGCTGTGTATTGGCAAGAATCTGGCGATACGATACGTATCACGACACAGGGGCAACGATACGATATATTGCGATATATCGGCACATCAATATATTGCAATGTAATTGTTGTAAAATGTTAGTTAGTTAGTTGGTAGGCAACGGTTAGTTAGTTGGCAAGGGTTAGTCAGTTGGTTGGTAAGGGTCAGTTAGTTGGTAAGGGTCAGTTAGTTAGTTGGTAAGGGTTAGTTAGTTGGTAAAGGTCAGTTAGTCAGTTGGTAAGGGTCAGTTAGTTGGTAAAGGTCAGTTAGTCAGTTAGTAAGGATCAGTTTTAGTAAGGGTTAGTCAGTTGGTAAGGGTCAGTTAGTCAGTTGGTAAAGGTTAGTTAGTTAGTTAGTAAGAGTTAGTCAGTTGGTAAGGGTTAGTTAGTTAGTAAGGGTTAGTCAGTTGGTAAGGGTTAGTTAGTTGGTCATGTTAGTTAGTTAGTCAGTGTTAGTTAGTTGGTAAGGGTTAGTTAGTTGGTAAGAGTTAGTTAGTTAGTTAGTAAGGGTTAGTTGGTTAGTTAGTAAGAGTTAGTCAGTTGGTAAGGGTTAGTTAGTTAGTAAGGGTTAGTCAGTTGGTAAAGGTTAGTTAGTTAGTTAGTAAGAGTTAGTCAGTTGGTAAGGGTTAGTTAGTTAGTAAGGGTTAGTCAGTTGGTAAGGGTTAGTTAGTTGGTCAGGGTTAGTTAGTTAGTTAGTGTTAGTTAGTTGGTAGGGGTTAGTTAGTTAGTTAGTTAGTAAGGGTTAGTTGGTTAGTTAGTAAGGGTTAGTTAGTTGGTAACTTACTGGGCATTGGGCATAAAGCACACGGCCTGGTTGGCAGGGATGGTCCACGGCTGTGTGGTCCACACCAACACAGAAACACTCTCTGTTCCTGTTGAAGAGACACAGAAGGACAGGATGTCAGACGTAGTAGGGTCAAAGGTCAGAGTCCGTGCGGTGGTGGTGGTGGTGGTGGTACCTGACAGCTTGGAGTCATCCATCTGTGGGGGCAGTTTGATGAGGGGGAAAGTGACATAAACTGCCCTGCTGACATGGTGGGGGTCGTACTCCAACTCTGCTTCAGCCAAGGCCGTTCTGAACACACACACACACACACACACACACACAGACTCACAGTGAATATTGGCTGACCCCTCCTGACCCCCGACCCCCATCAAAAAAGAAATTGAACTCAGTACCTTGACGACGGAGACCAGAACACAGGTTTGTAGTCCCGATAGATGAAGCCCTGGTCAGAAACACACCCACACACACACACACACACACACACACCAATACATATTAATTAGCGATGTGCGATAATATCGGTCGGCCGATATTATCGCACATTTTGTAATATCTGATAATGAAAACCCAATAACACAATGTCTGGGTTTCACCACCTGTGTTCTAAAAATATTTCTGGGGAAAAACGGCTGTATGAAAGCCACTAGATGGCAGCATTGCAGCTCATTTTATTCACCTATTTTAATAATCAGGGGAGTGTTGCTGAATGTTGGTGCAGTAACTCAGACAGTGGTTAGTACAGATAAATAAATAACTAGGAGGCCTCAGTGATCAGGCCGCAGTTACCTTCCTTCACCACTAGGCCACCACTGTCCTGCTATATCGGTATAGGCTGATATCGGAATCGGAAATTAAGTGTTTGGACGACATCGGCAAAAAGTTCATATTAGACATCCCTAATATTAATCTGTGTTTTCCCATTGGTCAGGAACTTGACCACTTCCTGTTTCTCTAGCCCACCCACAGAGGTCGAACGTCGTCCAGCGAGTGGGTTCACACCTTGCTGTGCATTTCCTGAAAGACTTTAAGCTGAGCGGCCTCATAGGATCCATCGAAGGTGTGGTAGCACCGGTCCCAGTCGGCCATGACGCCCCAGCGCTGGAAGGCGGCCTTCTGACGGGCGATGGCCTTCTGGGCGAACTCCCGGGCTGCGGAAGAAAGATTCAAACCGTTAGTGGACCATGGACCCGCGTCCAGCAGCTGCTGGTCTCTGTCCTGCCTGACCTTTCTGTCTGATCTGCAGTGGACTCAGCCCGCTGGTGCCCAGCTCCCCAAGAGCCTTCAGCTCAATGGGCAGGCCGTGGCAGTCCCAGCCGGGGACGTAGTGGACCTGCCGGCCCCGCAGCATCTCGAACCGGTTACGGATGTCCTTGATGATCTGCGTGGAGTCGGACACGGTCGGTGGGTTAGTTAGTCTGGCTTGGTTTTTGAATCACTAGTTTGAACATCAGGAAAATCCACAGAATAAAATAGCATCAGTAAAAGACACCTTGTTGAGGGCATGTCCAACGTGGGGGTCTCCATTGGCATACGGGGGCCCGTCGTGGAGACAGAACTCCTTCTTAGCTTTCCTCTCCCTTTGCCAGGAATAAAGGTCAGCAAATCTACACTCCTGAAACCACACGTTGTTTGGTGTTAACAAAATAAAAGTTTTAAAAACCTGGTTTCAACTCTTTCTCTGTTTAGTTTTCTATCTTCGGTGATTGTAGATGTTTTAAGTCTGTTAAAAACACATCAAATATTATTTTATGTTAAGCTTCATATGTATGTTTACCTGCTGGATGTGCAGCTCCCGGTCCAGCTGCTTCTGTCCGGTCAGCTTCATGGGGAACGTCGTCTGTGGAAGGAGCACCGTGTCTCGGTACAGTCCCCCGGGAGCAGACCCCTCTGACGGCCGAGTGCTGCCTCCGTCCGAACTGACACCATGACGGCGGCTGCTGCTGAAGGAGACAGCGGGCTGAAGCAGGCCGCCTACCCCCTGTGACCCCCGCCCCCACCCCGCTAACGCACGGCTCACTGCCGGAACACGGCGCAGCAGCAGCATGGAGAAGAGACGCAGCGCTGCGGCCACAACAGAAACGGTAAAACGGACAAAAACACACACCGATGTGTGTCGTTTCTCAATGTTACAGTACGGAGGTGTCGCGCCGTTCAGTTCCGCCCTCTGGGAGCACCGTGTTTCTACCGGAAGGTATTTTACAACGGACAACTACGGACACCCGGCGGGACCAAACTTTGTCCCATTTCACGCAACGATAAATAAATGAGATCAAATGTAAAGATTACGATTTAAACCTTTGTTGAATGAATACAAATTAAAAACGAGCTTTTCCTCCCAGACTTTGTAGGATTTTTATTTTTCTGTGAAAGTGGCTTAGCTGTCATGTATAGATTTATTTATGGAAAATTATTATTAAAATAAAACAAAGCTGTAACTTTGTGTTTTCATAAATAATAATAATGTAGTAAATGTCAATCAATGTGAACGATTTATTTCCGTTTGTCGATAACGAGTGTCTGTACGCAATACGCGAACTTTGTCTGAAACTGACAATAATCTTATATTATATTAAACTTTTCATGTTGCCGTTTAACAACAAAAATGCTACCATTCAAAGTGGTTAGCATTCAGTTAGTAATTAAAAAATATATATTATACGATACAACAGTGACTTCTTATAAATACAGATTACGACGAGTCTCAATAAAATAAACGCCATTTTTAAAATGAAAACAAAACAAAGTTTAAATGATAAAAAACATCAGATTTTTATAAATCAGACCTAAAACCCGTTGCTGCTAAATAAAATAAAATAAAATAAAATAAAATAAAATAAAATAAAATAAAATAAAATAAAATAAAATAAAATAAAATAAAATAAAATAAAATAAAATAAAATAAAATAAAATAAAATAAAATAAAATAAAATAAAATCGTTGTAACGTCCGACAATAAGTGAACGCAGCATTATCCACAGCAGGTGGAACTGAGAGGCTGATGACGTCACCGGTGGATATAAAGTGCACGGCTGCTGCTGGGTCTTCATTCATTTGTCTCCTGAGCAGAACATCGAACCGCCGCCAACTCCAGCCACGATGAACCGACTGTGTGCGACTGTCTTCGCGGTTTTCCTGCTGGTTCTCTTCGTCTCTTCTCAGGTCGGTGCCTTCGCTAATTAGTGAAGTTAATTAGTTCGTGTACTTGAGTTTAGTTTAATTTGATGTCTTCACACTCAGACGAACTAACGTCCGCTCCGTAAACATCAACAACTAACGTTCAAATCCCGACGTGATGTGTTTACGTTTGTGGGAATAAATTATCTTATTTTATAAAAGCTAATTTTCGACTTTCGTAAAGATTTTCAACACTTTTTAATCAGAGTGGGGGAAAAAGTCGGTCAATTAAGGAAGTCAGAAGTCCATATATGGTCATGGGAAATAAGAGAAGCTCATGGAAAAGTTCTGAGAATTTTAATCGGTTTCTGCCTCTGATTTGGCGCCTTTTGTTGTTGTTCTGTCTGTGTGTTTGTTTGTTTGTGTGCGCAGGTGGTCGATGCTGGAACCAACTCCACCAACTCCACCGCCGACACGGACACCGGCAGCAACCACACCACCAGTGTCAACAGCACCACCACTGACAAGAACAGCTGTGACAGGAGCGCCACCTACAGCTCCACCCTGTTCCCACTGGCCCTGGCTGCGGCCCTGCTCTATGGTTGGTCACAATGACTGCTTTGATTGGCTCACCTCACTGGACTCACTGGACTCACTGGACTCACTGGACTCACTGGACAGAACCTGGCTGCAGTTTCTGAGAGTTTAAAAAATGATCTGTGGATTTCACCTGAAGGGCACGAACGTATCCCTGCTCCCAGCAGGGGGCGTACATTCACCTTGGTTATGGCTGTTTGATGGATTGGGGAGGGGTTAAAGCTGCGCTCGTGTTCTGGGTGAATGTGGGTCGGTGTCGAGGGAACCAGAAGTTCTAGTGTGTTGTACCAGATGTAACGTTTCCTAAAACACGGTTGAAAATGTGACGTTTTAGATGTGACTTTTGTAACGTTGAATAAAAGCTTTACACAGTGACGTGTTCTGCTGTTTGATTGGCCGGCGTTGAACCGACACCAACAGCAGGTGGTGTCGAATGTGGGTTTATTTATTTATTTTAATCCAGTTCTGTCTGGTTGAAAACCTGAAGGTATTTGATGTTAACAGCCCCCCCCTCAGCCCCCCCCCCACCTGGTACAGGTTCTCAAAGGGCCTCTGTTAAAGGGTGGTAGGAATTCACCTGTGGCCCCGCCCCCCCACCTGTCCACACTTTGATCCTGGAGGGACTCGGTGACAAAGGCTGGATTGTCAACACTGATTCTAATCCACTGGTCACATCAGAGGCCACGACCCCCATGTTTGTACAGGGTCATGTGACCAAAGTCGGTCTGTTGACCCTCAGAACTTGGCCACGTTTAACCCATTGTTGTCCTTCAGTCCTCTGCTCTCAGTTCAGGTGTGAGTGGGGGGGGGGACAGTTTTGTCTTAGAATTCACTGGAGTCAAACAGTTCTATCATCAGTGGCTGAACTACATGAACCTCTGGTCAGACCAGGTCCAGGTCCCAGACCAGGTCCAGGTCCCAGTCCAGGTCCAGGTCCAGGTCCCAGTCCAGGTCCAGAGAGTTTGTCTGTGAACCAGGCCTCAGTTTTTGTTCATTTTTTTGTTTTGTTTTGTTTTTTTTGTTTGTGTGACGGCGTTCATTGTTTCAGGGAAATCGAGAGCTGCTCTGTGACCACATCCTGTGCTCAGAGGAAGCTGCAGTGACGGTTGAACCAGAACCTGTTCCTATTTTCCACAGGTTCAGAGAAATGAAATGTAAATTAATAACAGCCGACAGCACAGACACTGACGACCGACACTGACTGGTGAGAAACCGCAGAAGGTAACGTTGTTCTTGACAACAGTCTATTTATAAAAATATAAAAAAATAAACTAAACTGTAGCAGTTTGAACCAGAAAATGAACCAACACCAGGAATACTGGATAAAAATCAGTAACTGATGGAGGAGGAGATCGATGCAGTATCAGGAGAGGAAATACTGCAGTATTTCAGAGTACAGATATTTTCTTACAGTCGTAGTTAAGTACATGATGTCGGCAGTGACGCTGCCCTCTGCTGTCCTTTTCCATTAACGTTTGTTTCTATGAGTGGAAAAATGAGTTCAATTAGAGAAATATTTCCGTTTGGTGTCAGAATATTTACAAACACAGAGAGAAAAAGTCAAAAAACAAAAAACTCTGTTTTCACTGGTTTTCATTTATTAGAAGAAGAATCAAAAGAAAAAGAGAAAAGATAGAATCATATGATGGGGCAGGGTGGGGGGGGACACAGAGACAGAAACCCCAACGCCTTTTTTTATGAACAGAAGTAGAAACAACAACCAATGACATTTGACCTCCCTCTCTCCCGCCCCCTTGTGGTGGACTGAATTAGTTACACTTGAACGACGTTAACCCTTCAGTGTCCGTCGTTGTCATCACACCGCTGACGTCCACTCCCTGTCGGTCATTTCTGTCTCCATCCAGGCCTGGTCACAGTCACTGATGGAGCGAAACCCGACCATCTGCTCCGCCCACTGGGCGACCCTCAGGAGCTTCACGTCTTGGACGGCAGGACCAATCAGCTGCAGGCCAATCGGCAGCCCCCGCCTCGACAACGCCACGGGTAAGGACACGGCAGGAAGTCCTTCGGTGAAGGAGAAGGAAACACGATGAAGATGGTGAGATCATTTCCTGTTCTGTGGTGACGTGTGTGTGTGTGTGTGTGCCCCCCCCATGTTGACCGGCTGTGTGAAGACGTCTTCCTGTGCACTCCGTGTGCGGTTGTCTTCCTGTGTGAAGTCGCGGTACCGTGCCGCGCCCCTGGGGGGGGTGGGGGTCGGCGGGACGCCCCCCCCCGACTTGAAGACGCTCCTGAAGTCGTCGGCGATCTGTCTGTGTGTGTGTTTGTGTCCCTGCCATGTTGACCGGCTGTGGGAAGACGTCTTCCTGTGCACTCCGTGCGCGGTCGGCTTCCTGTGTGAAGTCGCGGTACCGTGCCGCGTCACTCAGGGTGGTGGGGGTCAGCAGGACGTCCACCCCCGACTTGAAGACGCTCCTGAAGTCGTCGGCGATCTGTCTGTGTGTGTGTTTGTGTCCCTGCCATGTTGACCGGCTGTGGGAAGACGTCTTCCTGTGCGCTCCGTGTGCGGTTGTCTTCCTGTGTGAAGTCGCGGTACCGTGCCGCGTCACTCAGGGTGGTGGGGGTCAGCATGTTCTGTCTGTGTGTGTGTTTGTGTGTGTGTACCTGCCATGTTGACCGGCTGGGTGAAGACGTCTTCCTGTGCGCTCCGTGTGCGGTTGTCTTCCTGTGTGAAGTCGCGGTACCGTGCCGCGCCCCTGGGGGGGGTGGGGGTCGGCGGGACGCCCCCCCCCGACTTGAAGACGCTCCTGAAGTCGTCGGCGATCTGTCTGTGTGTGTGTTTGTGTGTGGTTGTTTGTGTGTGTGTGTGTGTCCCTGCCATGTTGACCGGCTGTGTGAAGACGTCTTCCTGTGCACTCCGTGTGCGGTTGTCTTCCTGTGTGAAGTCGCGGTACCGTGCCGCGTCACTCAGGGTGGTGGGGGTCAGCAGGACGTCCACCCCCGACTTGAAGACGCTCCTGAAGTCGTCGGCGATCAGTCGCCGCACTTTTTGGGCCTTCAGAAAATAATGTTGATAATTCCTGGGAATGAAAACGAAGAATGAGTTCATCGGTCGTCAGCGTTCAGACGGAGACGACGGCTGGGAACGACACCACTCACGATACGACACCACTCACGACACGACACCACTCGACACCACTCACGATACGACACCAACTCACGATACGACACCACTCACGATACGACACCACTCAGGATTCTGTTGTTTACGATACGATTTGATCACAACTTTTGAAACAAAAAGAGCTCCAGACAAATTGTGACCAAACATAAATATTTATATAAATTATAAAAACAGGAAGTGGAAAGAGTTCCACTGGAGAACACTGTTGGTGTCTGTGGAACACGTTCTTCCCACGTTCTGGTCCAACACCTGAACGTCTCTCAGCCTACGTAGGACCTGACGTCTGGGTTTGATAGTGGGTTTTTCGGAGCACACTGCCACCTACTGGACTGGAGGGTGTAGTGTCATGGTCTGACCTCTGACCTCTGACACCTTCATGGACCATTCAGATAATTTGTGGTTTGAAAATGGATGGAATAAGTTTTTGATGCACCGTTTTAGCAGGAAGAAGTTTCCAGAAAGAATCCTTCCTCTGACGACATCGTTCAAGCCCTGGTGTCTGGTTGACGCGTACATCGCATCCGTTGAACAGTTCACTTCACTGCGATGTCCTGACACAAAGAAACAGCGTTAAGATTATTATCAGAAACACGACCGGTCTTAGTCTCCGCCCCCTCGGGCGTCGTACCGTATTCGAGGCCGTCAAACCGAGCCATGTTGGAGGCCACCTCTGTGTGGCACAGGACGTGGTAGCACACGATGGAGTACTGGGTGTGAGGGAGCGACACCTCCTTCACTCTGGCTCCCGCTCCTTCAAACATGTCGGCAACGCGGCTCCACTGAGCCACGGTCTCCGCGGACAGTCCTGGGGCGTGGTACTCCTGTGGTGACAGCAGACAAGGGAGCGGTGGCGTCGAGGGCGTCGTTTCATTCCTAATGATAACGAGGGATAAACAGTGAATATTGTTTGACCTTTGGAATTCCGACACACAGGTTCTTGACGTCAAATTCCTCGAGGAGCTCCGTTGGAGATGAAGGAGCAGG